TGAACAGTGATTTCACATCAAAAGACACAAGTTTGTAGTCGTCAGGTATCTGTACTGTCTTAATAGCGTCAATAAAGTTCTCCGTAGATTGTAGTTTGTGTCTTGATTTGTCAGTAAGGGGTTGCAGTATGGTCGTCAAGTACTTAGATAGTATCTAAGTACTTGACGACGAAAGGTATATTTAATATTCCTTACTAATGCGCTTTGTACAAGCCTACCTCCAACACTGAGAACTCATGGTTTACTAAACACGCCAGTCCAGCGACGGGTATCAGCAAGAACTCGATCCTGAATGTGTCATGGTTGGAATCGTAGGTTGCCTTAAACTTGACTAACATCAAATAGACTGTAGCATACGCACACACCAAGTAGATGACTTTCATCACAGTGTTGTACACTGAGATGAATGTCAGAACCAGATCGAGGTATCGTGTGCTGAACACCAGGGCAAAGAGAATCTGACTTTTGCCTGACAAGCCTGGAAGAAAAGAAAACAATAACTTTATATTGGAAACAAAATTTTCATATTTAAGTGTAAACACCCACAGAAAATCACCATGGAAACAGTAACAAGTGCCTATTACGCTGACCCAGGGTCCGAAATTGCGCTTTCCTGGTCGCCAATGCGACTAAAAATTTTGCACTGGCGACCAGAATTTTACAACTGGTCGCCAGCGGGTGATTAACTATTTCATGCCACGATAATTGCACAAACAAAAACTTTGATTTTCAGCCAAATCGATTAAAATAAAATTCAAAGCCACCCGCCAATTGGTCACCTTGCCGCTGCTTTTGAAGTATAAAACCAATTTTCCTGTTATCATAAATCTACCACAACGTTTTACAGCTACGATCAGTGCGAAGCTTTGCCACCATGTTCCAGAGACGGAACATCCGCGAAGAAATTAGATGAAGATTCAGATATTCTGTGGGCATCAAACGGTGGAAATGTAGATCTGTCAAAGTGGTCAAAAGATGATTTCAGCACTGGTTTGAGTCCTGATTACATCGAATGCAAATATTTTGCAGGCAAACCAGTGGCGACCAAAAATTTTGGTTTTTGTTTCGCTACGAAGGAAAAATTTTAATGACACTTTTTGGCGACCACATTTTTCCAGTTGGTGCCTGCCGAAAAAAGTTAATTTCAGACCCTGTGACCTTGGACTTAAACTAGGAGAAAATAAAACAAAATTGCCACAATGGGTTTTACATTTTCCTTTGTGCAAAGCAATGTTTTGACTTTGAAGTTCCTGTTAACTGGACAAAGCCACTTAGACTTAAGACTTCCTCATGTTATTGGAAACTTGAAAGTATGTCTTGTACAAGAGAAAAAGTAAACTACATGTATGTTTGCATCACCAATTTTGTAAAACAAATTTCACTCCACGAAAAAGAGTTTCAAAGACATGTTGGGATGATGGCATGACAGGTCCCAATAGAGCAACTGACAGGTACATTTGAAATGTAACAATTATTTGTGCAGTGTGTTTGTTAAGCTTTCATATACTTCTCTTGATGTCCTCTAGGAGAATTTGGCATTGTATAAAGAGATAACTTTCTGTGTTCTTGATATTTATTGCATTGCCAAGTCACTGATGTTACAGAAACTAAATTCTGCGAAATCAATGGCAAGTAACCAATCCAATTTCTATCTCATAGTAAAAGGGCAAATAATATTCTAACTGGTCCAATAAATTGAAATATACAAATTTATTCAAAAAAAAAATAAAGGAAATATTTTGTCTTGAAATTTTCAGCCCTCATCTGTTGTCCAAAAATTCAACTTACAATGATTTTCCATTAACTCTTGTTCGTTTAGAAATATTGAATTGAAGTTTTCCTGCCAAACGTCACTCTGACAGTAATACTGGATCTCAAAATGTTACTTTTATCTAAACATGACAACTTTTAGGGGGCTGAAAAGCCCACAAATGTTCAAAGGAACGTCTGAAATTTCGAGCAAGTGATATATGATGACTTATGATCGACAACGAAGCACTTCAGCCGACGATATCTGACATTTGATCTTTGAGGAGCAGTATTGACGAAAACCGTCAGGCGACTCCAGAGACACAACACAAAGAGTAATTGAAAATGTGCAAATCCAACTTTAGGTACACGAAAGAGTTTCTTCGTCTGGAAAACAATACCCCTAGGCTTGTTGAGTTAAACGTATTTAGGATTAACGAGCTGTTCAACAAAAACATGTAAAGACACAAAGACATGTAAAGCTACAGTTGTTACACGTGTACAAAATCTAGTCAACAATCCCTGATCATTCAACCATCGATCCGAATATCTTATTGTAGGATTTCAGCGCACCACACTACTGCTAAGCTGCTAACCAAAAAGAAAACAAGAATTGAAACCCCTGTTGTTGAAATGTCCTTTGACAAAACGTCTGAAAAGCAATTTCCCATAAAAATTGGAGCCATTATAGCCTCACAAAGCACAACTGAAAAAAGTTACCGGCGCACGATCTCGTTTTCCATATTTTCCACAATAGCGCAAGGATGGCCAGAAGATGCGAGAGATCTCCTGTTAGTCTGAAGACATTCATTCTGTTCTCATATGGTTAAACACTCTTGGTGGAAAACGGCCAACCAACTGCAGAAAACTAGGTTTTGTGAGCACTAGAATTTGATTCAGCCGCAGGCCTCTCAAATAAATGTCCGCCACGTCGGCAGCTCTACATACGGGAGCTTTTGTGTTCTTCGGAGAATAACGAAGATAAACGGAGATTACCGACGAATTTCAGTCACGAAATCTCTTTTTCTATATCGGACGTTGTCGATCACAGTTGGGTTTTTACAAATCAGTCTTCGGCTTTTACAGCTTTAAATCACTAGTATCGTCGCTCCCTAGCTCAAACAATAATGGGACAATATTAAAGAAAAAAAATTGGCGCGAAAAGTGGAACTGAGAAACTAGGCGCGCTTGGACACGTTGGGCCAAGCGCGCTTCTTGGAACTAAGACTGACAACTTAGAAGATTTCTCACTATCTTTAACGAATACGAGGAGTGAAGATAGGGTAAATCGCGCTTGAAGGGAAAAGCTTTTTTTTTAATTTGAGTAGCGTTTCAACTACTTTTCCTCCTGATTGTACCTTTTCTACCTGTATCCAAACGCCCCATTTAATTCAAGGCTGCTTTCCATATATCGCTACGACCGCTGATTGGCGCTTAAGTTTTTTGGCAGTGATCGTAGTGATCACTATGGAACCTTCAGCCAACTTCGTTCCCATGGCCTCTTCCCTTCACGATTCATCTAAAACTATCTACACTTTTCTAAAAACCAAGTTGAAAATCAAGGTGAGTTGTTATTGTTTTTGATGTTATTTTTCTTTGAAAGATGGGAAATTTGCTAATCTCTGTTGCATTCACAGGCTAGTCGTTAAATCTCGCTTTATCGTTCCTCTGATCTACTAAATCTACCAGACATTGCAAATTTTCTTAACACGTCTGATTGTTCCAGCTATTCCCAGTCCCACACGTGACAGACTGCACTGTTTCTGATTGGCTAGGCAAAACGAATAGCGAGTAACAATCAATCACTTTATCAACAAATTGTTGCAATAATTGTTTAAATGTCAGAAGTCTCTCTCGAGGGGAACACTGAAAGAATGAAAACTATATGAAAGATGACTGTCTTCGGCAAAAGGTGACTCAATCGCAGTTTTCTAGATCTTTCGCGTCACGCACGACGGACTAAGCGAACGGGGGACTACTCGTAGTCTTTAACTTTTCGCAATCAAAGGAATGGCTGGTCTCAACGCTCTTCTTCTTGCAAACACCACAGCTGATTTGGCTTCCATCGCCACTTTGTCGAACAGCGAGAAGACTCAACAAACTGTTGTGCAGAAAACTGCTAGGCAAATTATCGAAAATGTTTCCTTTAGGGAAGTCAACTTCTGCTTGACACTCGGGACAACGAAATTTCCCTTGTCTTTGGCTGACGTGTTTCTCCAAGCACTCACAGCAGAAGACAAGACGATATGAAGACAAGCTATGGTCTTGGGTTTGGAGTAAGTGTCCAAACAGATCGAACAAGTAACTTGTTCCTCCTCAGGTTTTTGACGAGAGACTACATCGAATAGACAAATTCGGCTATCACGCATGTGACATTAAATTGGGTGTTTACATTGCGTGAAAACGAGGCTCCCTTAACATTTTCCTTATTATTCCAGCCGTTTGTATTTGTTGTGTTAATTATGCGCGTTGCTGTAGTTGTTTATTCAATAAAGAATAGAAATGGTCAAAATCCTCGAGGAATTTTCCAAAATTTGGCTCAACGAGCATGGTCTTCGTGGCTCGAGCAAGGCGGAAAAAAGAATACTGGAGAGAAAAGCTATAAGTTCTTTCGGGAAGCTAGGATATGTTTACGATGTTTACACGTGTCAGTAGTTGGAGGATTTCTATGTCAGGGCAGGTTGCTAAAGATCTCTAAGAAAAATTGAAGAGCCTCATTTTAGCCGTAATCTTCAGGGCGAGCGATGGCAGGGCAGAAGAACGCTCTTCGTGTAAGGGGGGAAGCGGTGGACATTGCAATCATGTATTTGCATTATTGTTCCGGTTGAATTATTATTCATGTTTTAAAATCAAAGACATCCCGAGTGATGCAGTCTTTACAAGACTACCCCAGTCTTGGTATATTTCGAGATCAGTTTCTTTGTGTTAATGACACTTGATTTTCTTGTTGTAGTATCCCACTAAATCTGCATTTTTCTATCTAGATTAGGCAACAGAAATTGTAAGATAATTGTGAATTCACCATGACTGTTAAATCCAGTGAAAAGTGTAATAAATTTGCCCTCTTTCTTTGAGCTGCACATTCGGAAAGAAGGTAAGATACAGAAAAATTATGAAACCAGGGAATTCTAAGATGTTCATCTAATTAACTACAGATTTCATCCCCAAGATGTTTGTGCCTTTCGAGACCAACGTGACACATTCTCCCTCAGATGCTGCCGAATCCGTTGCTTCATTTTCTTTTCTGCTTTGATTCATCTTTTCTGAAGCGTACCTCTTCACCGCTTGGACCTTCCCCTGCTTATCTTTATCCCACGAAAAACAAAGGAACTGCATCGGCCTTCAATCGATTTTTACTAGTGTAAGGATTGATAAAATCTTCTGATGTAAAGTGTTCGCTGCAGTACTGGCGTTGAAATATCGTGGATCTCTTTTCATTTTCACGATCCAAACAGAGACAAGACTTTTAAAATTTGACGGAAACCCGTGAAACCGCAGATCTTTTCGGTTAGCGAAGCTGTTCTGACAGTCTCCGGTGCAACAAAACCGCGGAATCGTGGCTTATTTTTCTCTAAATGACAATACGAACGTACTTGTTTTGGTGGCTGTGACTAAAAGTGGGACGGGGACTTGGGGACTGGGACATAGGACGTGGGACGTGGGACTCGGGGACGCGGGGACGCGGGGACGCGGGGACG